ATATTTCTTATTGATAAAGAGGCATAAAATGAGCCAACACTACATTTAATTCTTTCATATACTTTTATTCTTAGAAAAATCATTGCATTAAATAATAATTTCATGAAAATATAAGATCTCTATTTTAATATTTTTTTTGATTATTCTATTTAATATTTCTACTTTATTGGGCAAACATTAAACATGTTCAACTTTTCTTATTTAAATTATTTTTTGGCTTAAAGTTTGAGTCTTTCTATTTTCAATCAATAATTTAATTTTGTTTGTGCAAATAGTTTAAAATTCTCTTCTTTATCTTATATTAAATTTTTCTATAGCAACTTAATTTATTTAGGAGATTATTTTTTATGGCAAAATAGGGGGAGGTTATTGTTTGTATTTTGGTTTGAGGTATTATTTGTGTTATGTTTGAAGTCTTTTGGTTTTTTGTTTTGGTATGTTTTTATTTTTTTTAGAATTTATGTTCTCAGGTGGAGGTTATTTCGTGTACTTTATTTTTATGTTTTTTTATAAAACCAAAATTTAAAAATGGGATGAAATTTTTATGATCCTCATGTTGTTTATTTTTAACTTCATTGATTAGTAGTTTAGGAGAAATGAATTTTATTTGTAGTTCAAACAATAATTATTTTTGCTATCATAAAAAAGGATAAGATTATTGTAACTCAAGAATACAGCTTGAGAATGTGTTTTTTGATGATATAAAAATTATTATTATTCTATTATTTTATCATTTCTCCTAGTACATATTGGACATTTTCTATTTATTGTTTGTGTGTAACTAACATTTTAGAAAAATCATACTTCATACTACTGAAGACTTCAAGACAAAGTAGATTAGGGCTTCATGCAATGAAGTCTATAAGTTTTTATTTTTCTTGAGTCTGAGAGAGTGTGATTATAATTGGATAATCGTGCGCACACACATGGGGGAGTGAGTCAAAACTTAAAATTTTAATACTAATTGTACTATACGATTTCAAATCATACTAGATGATTTATCATGTTCTTTCCTCCAAAATAAAGTTAATTATATCATATCTTATATATATATATATATAAACTTTTTTTTTTTTGGGAAAATTTTGGGCCAAAGCCTATTTCATTTCAGCTAATAAATTAGCAAAAAGAATACAAAGAGAGAGTTAGCAACTACCACAACCAACCAGTAGTGTTAACCCGACCAAAAACTATCAGCAATCAAAGAGCTGCTTAACAAAGTAAAAAACAACTAAATACCCTATCAGCTTTGCTGCAGAAGAACAAAAAAGGAAGCAGAAAATCTAAAACTTATCATAGCCTAGCAAAAATCAGTAGAAAAAATTGAAATTCCTGCAAACACAAACAGGAGTAACAAAATTGGCTAATGATATACAACAATTGATCTTCAAATTTGGAGAGCTCCCAAGCCAGCAATACCCTGGACTCAGAATAAATTTTCTCGAAAAGCAGCAAATAGATTTCCCTGGTTGCCCGTAGACCTTCCAAGGGAAATATACAAAATTTGGGAGCTCCATCATCGTCCAGGAAACTGATAGAAACAATCTGGGACGGAAGCAGCAAAGAGACCATGATAACAGAGAGAGAGTCGAGCACACATAGACCCAACTGAGCTATAGTAATTCCAATAAATCCATAGAATTCCCCCATTTGATAGCTTTCTCGCATAGATTTCTCTTAATGATGTGCAACAGAGAGGTGCTGCAATTTAAGGAGTTACCAAATCTCCTACCATTCCTCTCTTTCCATATATAATAAATAGCACAACATACAGTAACATAGCAGAAATTTTTAACTCTATCATTCGCTTTATGTTTTACTTTCACCCAATTAAATACCTGCATGATAGATGGCCTGAAGAGGAAAATTTTCGTACCAGGAAATAAAGCATTAAGAATGAAAAACGTATAAGATCACTCAAAGAACAGATGAGAAATTGTTTCATTGTGATGATGGCACAGGCTGCAAGTGCCAGGAACTAAAATATTTCTCTTATTAAGAGCGTCTGCTGTCTTTAAGCCGTGAACAACAGCCAACCAAACATAAACCGAATGCTTAAGGATGTTTCTTTTAGCCCACACTATTTTGTGCCAGGAACAGGTTTGATAATCAATATAGAATTCCTCTATATAATTTTTGAATTTAAAAGTGCACCGTTTTTTCCATAGCAGGCAAGGTCCAACCTCCTCAATAATGTTATAGCCAGCAATCAAGTTCCTCGGCTGCATAGGAATAGAAACAGGAAGCTCCCACCCAGATCCAGAAATCATATCTTTCAAAAAGAGATCAGGGCAGTCATCTAGAGAAGAACCCCCCAAGTACTCAACAATAGTTTCATTATTAATCCAATGATCCCAGATTAAAGAAATCGGTGCATACCGTGTGATTTTGAAATTAAAACAGTGTTTAACATCAGCAGCTGTCTTGCAAATCATTTTCCAGATTTTAGTGGCCAGATACTATGGTGGACGCCAAGGAGATTTGTAGTGACATAGAAGCCAAGTAGAGAGAGGAGAGGTACAATTGTACATCCTAACAATGACTGAACAATTATAGGCAAATTGCATAGCAGGAATGGAGGGAATCCCAAGTCCTCCCTTGTTTTTGGGTCTACATATTTTATCCCAAGAAACCATGTGGAGCTTTTTACTATTCATCGAGTCACCAAAAAACAAAAATCTAGAACTAGATTTGTTAATGTACTTGTGATCAGATTTTGGTAATATAGCTCCTCTTATCCAATAAGGTATAGTGTTTTGTATTGTGAATTTGATGTACTGCAGCCTACCAACAAAAGATAAAAGGTTGGCCTTTCATCCATTCATTTTCTTATTCACATTGTTCAATAAAGGTAGATAGTCTTCTACTTTCAATCTATAGTAAGATAAAGGGATACCAAGATAAGTGATATTATTGACAATGTTGTGTATAGAAAGAGCTTGGCATATATCCTGAACTTGTCTAAGGTTTCTTGGGAACATAATAGCATATTTTTCATAGTTGATGTGAAGACTCGTAGCATCTGCAAAATCCCTTAAAATGTTTACCAAAATACTGCAGTTCTCTAATGTGGCCTCTCCAAAAATTAGAACATCATCAGCATATAAAAGATGAGTAAGAGAATACTTATCAAAAGTAATACCTCTAAACCCCCTACTCTCCAAGAGATTAGATAAAACATCCATGACTATACAGAATAAGTAGGGGCTAAGTGGACACCCTTGTCGGAGACCAGCAGAAGATGAGAAATAGCCCTCTAGAGCCCCATTTAGCACAATAGAGAAATTAACATCAGTTATACAAGATTTGATCCAGTTTGTAAAAGTATTAGGGAAACCTTTTTGGGCAAGTCTAGCAAGCAAAAATTCCCGACTAACAGAATCAAATGCCTTTTTTATATCCAGTTTAGCACAAAAAGTGTTGCCTTTCTACTCTTGCCAGTCAAAAAAAGGATTTCATTTGCTAGAAGAATGTTGTCTGTAGAAATTCTGAACTTTACAAAACCCCCTTGATTATCCAAAACAATCAAATTCATCACAGGCTTAAGTCTTTCCGCAAGCACCTTTGATATAATCTTGTAGAGAACATTGCAAAACGCAATGGGTCTTTAATCAGTAATTGTGGTAGCGTTTTTGTGCTTAGGGATGATAGCCAAAGCTGTGGATTTTACACCACTAGGCAAATAGCATTTAAGGAAAAATGATTTGATTGCCCTGCAAGCAGTTGGACCAATAATATGCCAAGAAGATTTGTAAAAAAGAAAGTTGAAACCATCAGACCCCGGGGCTGATTTAGAGGAACCCACAAAAACAGCATTTTTTATCTCTTCATCCAGGACACAAGTAGATATGCTATGAGCAAGAGTAGGAGGAAGAAGGAGCCCAACTGGTAAACAGTTCAGATTCTGGTTAGAAGGAGGCAAGGGGTTGTAGAGATCTTGATAAAACCATATAAGAGTATTAACCACATCAGATCTAGTAGCAGAACAGTTATTAGAAAGAAGATTAGCCACCGAATTAGAGGCTCCCCTTCTAGTTCTAATTTTAGCATATAAGAATTTTAAGTCCTCCTCCCCATTTTTGATCCAATTCACTTTAGCCCTCTGTATGATCCAAGAGGCATGTATAGAATTGAAATGAGCTAACTCCATATTATTCTCTTTGAAAGAGAGATTGAGAACAGGATTATTGGGGTCAGTTTGGAGTTTACCTAAAAGATCAGCTTGAACACCATTCAAAAAGTCCAAGTGCCTAGTGATGCAGGTAGAGGAAGACCACACTTCTTTTTTCACCACAATTTTAATCTGCTTCAGAATTTTACAAAAGTGAGAGAGTGGGTTCCCAACAGTAGGAGAAGAAAAAGCCTCAAGAAGAATAGCCCAATACTTATCTAACTTGGTCCAATAATTTTTGAAAATGAAGCGATGATTCACATGGACATTCTTGCCAGAATGCAAAATAATAGGACAGTGGTCCGAACATGAAGGACTTTGAAAGGAGCAGAAAGAGTCAGAATACTTATTTAACCAGCCCTCATTCACTAAAACACGATCAAGTTTTATATGAATAGGATTACTAGCACGCTGGTTGAACCATGTATATTTAAAGCCAACATAATTCAAATCCACAAGGCTATTACTAAAAATCATATTGTTAAAATCTAACAATGCAGACTGAGTAATAGGAGTACCTCCCGACTTTTCATTGGCATACCTACAACAGTTGTAATCTCCCATGAGAGCCCAGGGGAAATCAGTAGCAGGCGCCAAATTAGCAATAGAATTCCACAGCTGTAAACGATCTGCATTGCTATTCGACGCAGAAATAGCAGATAGCTGAAACAGAGGAAGGTTAGCAACCCAGATGGTACCTGAAATAACCTGAGACAAAATAAAGGAAGGCTTAAAGGAGAGTTTTGATGCGTTCCATTTTATCCATATACGACCAGAGGCAGATAAATCAAAATTATTACAGCTTTCTTCATTAGAAAAAAGGCAGTGGGAAGCTTCGAAATAAGGATCCAGCAAAGAAATAGATTGAATCCTGTTTTCCAAAATGCAAACCAAGTCTAGCTTGAAAGATTGAATGAGTCGCTTGAAACACAACACTTTATCAGGGTGATTAAAACCCCTGATATTCCACGCAGCTAGCAGTGGAAAAGACATTAGGAATTTGATGAATGGGATTTTTTTGTTCTGCTTTATATATAAACTAACTAATGATGATAATGTAAAGAGACAAAATAAAGGCACTAAATGATTAATCTAATGGACAACGGAAAATGCGGTAGATAACTTCAGCTTTATGCATGAATGGGGGAGCAATAATAATATTATTGCCTTGCTTGGTATGATCTGTAAAGAAAAGCTTCTTCTTCTTTTTTTTTTTTATTGACTGCAGGTTCTCATTTCTCTGTTTTTTTTTTCTTTTTTTGAAAAAGATATATATACATATACTTTAATGGAAGATATTATATGCATAAATTTTAACATAAAATAATATATACATAAATATTAACATAAAATATTTATATCTATATATAAATTTTAACAGAAAATATTTATATACATAAAAATGAAATATAGTTAATCGTACTAATTAATATTAATTAACTGTAATTGATATGTCGCCAAAAAATTATCTTAAACGGGTGCGAATCTCAGTGTAAAATCAGGTTGGAAACCTCAAAAATTAATTCGGAGACCATCCAAACTCTGATTTCAGCAAACTTATAGTCTAACTGAGTGTCTTGAAAATACAAACCCAACGACACCAAATTCGACTCAATCCGTGTCACGCCCCAAGATCTAACTTGGAAAGAATGTCAATCTATTTCTCAAACAATTTACCAGAGCTATCTAAATCCTTCAATTAAACAGTCTATCAACATCTATAAAATTTAAAACATCAATATACAAGTCGATTCATCTCAAAAGGTCATGTACAATACTTAGGAACTACACTACAATCACCAGTACTGAAATCTATCCTGAGTACCAAAAGATCAAAAATTCATCAAAATGGACAAAAACCTGAGATTCTGGTCATCAATTCCTATCTTCTACTCCCTTGCCCTGACCTAAAAATATCAACCACATATAATGAGCTTTACAAAGGCCCAGCAGGTCACCTTATATACCTGATAATTGAATCCAAAGCACGACGATGCTATCATAAGCATGTTAGTAAATCAAATCATATCAAGTCCAATGGTCAATGAATCTGTGCAATACGGAAATCCATAAATCAATAAACCATCATGCAGCAGCAGGCAAATCAAATAAAACAAGAGACTCATCAATGCCAACGTATATCGCTGAAGAAATTCCAGTACACAGAAGAAAATCAAAATCCGTCAAATCAGTCAATCCGGTCCGTCAATAATCCAATCCGTTCAAATCAATCAATCAAATCAAATCGAATCAAATCAAAAATCTATACTATTAATCGATTAAAACCAATCGGAAAAAGCAATACGATAAATCTCAATCTTATTCCTATCAATAAATCAATGTATAGGCAAGTCAAATCAGTAACAATGCATAAATCAATCTATAGGCGAATACCAATTATTCTATAGCATCAATGAATCTATAGCCAAATCTATGTCCATTTTATCCTATATCAATATCAATATCAAATATCCATGGCTCTAATGACAATCATGAAATCTTATAATATCCATACAAAACATTAAATCCCATCATAAGCAATAAGCAGAGATCAATTAACAATAAATTATCCAAGACGTCAATACAGTAACATTGCATTTCAAACAATATAATACTTGAACAAGTATCAATCACTGGGTATGTTTGCTTTGTAGACATCCATTATTGTTGGTAAGTATTCATCCATATGTTGGTTTTCAATAAAAAGAGTCGTCACTCTATTGCCCGCGTCGGCCGCCGCTCCGACATATCTATAAATACCCTTATGACTCCCAATCTATTATATCAATGATCAATGTTTAAAGGAAGAGCCCGTCCGGCCCACCATCCTGTAACAGGTCAATTCAATCTCCAACCAACGTTCACCAGGATTCTCACTTTTGTATTTCAATATCAATAGTCAATTCAAGAATCAATTCAATAACTCAATGCATAATCAACATCATAATCAATAATCAGCAATGTCTAGTCCAAATCAATAACTAGTCTGCACATATCAATTCACTCTAATCAATTTCAGAAAGAATCAGAAAATCGTACGAAAAATCGGGCGGAGTAACGGCAGTTCTATCAAAATTACACAAAGAAATCTTTGCAAAAAGTAACAATTCTAAATTTCTCCAATTACAGTCAATAATGTCCAACGATCATCAATACAAGACTATTGTTCATAATAGAATCCAAATCAAAATCCACGTCCTGATATTTTTCTATTCGATTAAAATCGCGTAGAATCAATTCCGACCGGTAAAATCGTCGTAGGAAATACTCAAATCGTGTACAATAGTCATATCTATAACATACCAAAAGTTGTGCAGTGAAAGTTGAGTCAAATCAAAATCATGTCCAAAATTCGACTACGAAAACACAAAACAGTGCACAACTCGGTCAAAACTCAATATCTCTGAAAACAGAAATAGGATTCATAGTCCTTACCACGAGATCTTCACTTTTCCCAATAGCGGCGTCGGACGAAAAGCGCTCCGTGGCCTCCGAAACCCAAGATTTCCTTTACTTTTCCTCTCTTTCTCTCTCTTCAAAATATGTGATTTTATTAAAATGATTTTCTCTCTCCTCAAAACGAGCTGATTTTCTTATATCATTAGGTTGATCGGCCCGGCCGATCGCAAAATCGTCCCGGGACGATCATACCAAAATCGATCGTCCTGGACGGTTCCCAGAACTATTTTCAGGACGGTATTTTGAACAATACAGATCGTCCTGGACGATCTCAATATCGTCCCGGACAATCCTGGGAGGAAAATCCAAGTGAGAGAGGAACAGTAAGGGAACGAGGTCTCACAATCCGAGCCAAAATGGGTCCAAATCAAGCGCCCGAAGTGCTGTTGGAAAGCTCATACCACAATTTGAGTTACCAAACGGTCTCCGATTTTAACGAGCTTATACTCAAATTAAGCGGCTCGACGAGACGAATCCAACGAGCCTAAGATTGCCGAATTCCGACATCACTAAGGCCTTTAAATGTCCAACAAATGGTGCACAATCGTAGGATTCAATATCAGCCCTCCATTCGACCACTCCCCATTTTCCCTTGATCTCTTGCCTATTTACAGGTCATGTCACTTCAAAAAAACTATAAATATACCCCTCATTCCTCATAAGAGGGGGCCAAGCAAGAAGAAAAGAGGGGAAGAGAAGGAAGAGGAGAAGGAAGAGAAGGAAGAAGCTCCTCCTCGACCACCGCCGGAACCTCGCCGGACCACCGCCGGACCACCACCTGAGATCCTCACCCTCGCCGTACCACCGCCGGAACTTCCCCGGACCACCACTGGAGTCTCACCGGACCACCGCCAGAGCTTCGCCGCACCACCACCTCAAGGCCCGACGTTCAGGCATGACGTTCTGCTGAAGGCCCAATGCTCTGCTCAAGGCCCGACATTCTGCTCAAGGCCCGACGTTCTGCTGAAGGCCCGACGCTCTGCTCAAGGCCCGACATTCTGCTCAAGGTCCGACATTCTGCTCAAGGCCCGACGTTCTACTGAAGGCTCGACGCTCTGCTCAAGGCCCGACATTCTGCTCAAGGCTCGACATTCTCCTCAAGGCCCGACGTTCTGGTCCGACATTCTGGCCCGACGTTCTGTTGAAGGCCCAATGCTCTGCTCAAGGCCCGACATTCTGCTCAAGGCCGGACGTTCTGCTGAAGGCCCGACGCTCTGCTCAAGGCCCGACATTCTGCTCAAGGCCCGACATTTTGCTCAAGGCTCGACGCTCTGGTCAAGGCCCGACGCTCTGCTCAAGGCTCGACGCTCTGCTCAAGGCTCTACGCTCTGCTCAAGGCCCTACATTCTGCTCAAGGCCCGACGTTCTGCCGAAGACCCAACGTTCTGCTCAAGGCCAGACTACCAACTAACACTCGAACTTTCAGGTGACGCTGGGTCTAATACCAGACTCCTATCGAACAGTTACTAGTTGTAATCTGATCGCCCTTGGAGGCGTTTCAGCCCTTTGTAACCGACTCAAATTCTAGTAGAATCATTTTCAACTGGGCTAGGCCCCTGGTTTTTTTCCCTTTTTAGGGGTTTTCCACAAGTAAAAACTCTGGTGTCTCTTATGAATGCTACACTCTCTCATTTATCTGATTGTGTGCTGGATCTTCGTACAATGCTAAGACATTAAACTATATATTTCTCTACCGCCGCGAATATTCCAGGACGCAACAGTAATAAAAATAGCTGACCTAATTGAATGACTGAATGCAGAAGTTACCATTTAAAAATAAATAATACTCATATCAAATAACTTATCATATTAATCAATAGTACTCATACTGTTTACTTTATCACTAGTATTTTTTTTTACTTTATCACTAGTATGATATAACTTACCACCAACATTTGCAAGGATGAAAAATGATAAAGTAAAAATACACAATTCTCCTTGGTCTATTGGTTGAGAGTTTAGGCTTCCAACTAAGAGGTCCAGGATTCGAGTCTATGTATATACGTTGTGTGTGAGTTTGCCTTAAATGGCCTAAATGTCAAAAAAAAAAAAAGTAAAAGTAAAATAATGACAAGGGTAGAGTATTCACGTTTTGTCATCTCACTGTTGGATGCAAGCAGAGTGAGCCTAGCTATTGCTTTAAAACAGGAGGAAGTGGAGAGGTTGAGAGCAGTTGGCGACATCGAGAAAGGAATCAATAGAAGGAAGGAGCGTCTCGATTGGGAAAATCTATAGACGTCTGGAGTCGATTTAGCAGCAGATCGGAAAGAGGTAGGATTGTCGGAGTTGGGTCGCTACAGGTGGCAGAAAAGGCTTTGGGGATTTTATAATGAGATGAGTTTCAGCTGGTGGGAAGTAGATCTACAAGTGTAGTGATCTGGAGTCCGACAGTGGAAGCTTCCGTGTCTTAGAAGCTGGAAGATCAATCAAGGTATTCGCGGTTTAATTTTAATTTTTTTTAAAGCCCTGTCATTAATCAATCCTTCCAAGGATTACTTATAATGAGATTACTAAGTATGAAATGGCAATCATTTGTGGTTTCCACTGCTCAAGATTTTTTTTTTAGATTAGATTGGGGCAATCCGTAACCATCAAGTATCTTAATGCCGCAAGTCTTGCCATTTCATCAGCTAGATGAAAGATCGTTGACGTTTCGAGGGGAATATAATTTGAATTGTTGCAAAAATTCAAAGTCTTTCACCCAATTTCATCTATGGCCAACCTCTCGAGTATAGAGGGTAAAGAGGACAACTCTTCTGATTTCAAGCAGTAAGATGGGCCCAATTCCACTAAGCAAGGAAACAAACATATGCTTTAAGTACCTCAAATCAATCCTTTGATATCTTCAATTCAAAGAAATATAACGTTACTAGCGATGGAAAGGCACGACATTCATGGTTCCCATTAAATTTACCTTCGAGCCATTTTATTTCTGGCCTCTAAAAAAAATATGGAAGAACTTTCATACTCCAAACAACTTGTCAATTTAATTTTCTCTAAATTGAAGCTCGGATTGACATTGTTTATCCATATTGTAGACCTTGTACCCATGTATGTCTTTATGCTTAAATTCCTTATACATTTTGGTGGTCGAAGGTTGTCGATCGTGCTCTTAGGCAAATCAAAATTCCCCAAATTAATGAGATTCCGTCATAAAGCTAAATCTATGAGCCTCCTCTTATCGCATAATCTGGCACTACAAGCCTTCCTCAACATCTTTAATATCTTCAAGGCAATTGTTTCCTAGCTTGCAAAGATCATTCATATTCTTCAGGTACACCAGTTCTACGACCATTCACATCTCCTAAAAAAAATAATCTTGAAGTGACTTTAGCTTCCCAATCTCACACATCGATAAAATACAAGTCTCGGTCAATCTTAGATGACACGAGTCATTAATGCCATTAGAAGTTTTGACGGTGCACCCAATATATCTTTTTTTCTTAACATTTAAGCGTCGAATATGTATCAGATTTCTTTTTAACTCCTTCGAATATCATTTACAAGCCATCAATACATATGCATGATAATTGTAGGCCTCTCGGTGTTTGGAATACTTTAATGAGCGTCTATCTTTAACTCTTGAATATTCTTGTTTTAAAATTGACTCCCTTCGATATCCTTCATAGCCTTCCCTTGAAAACTAGGAGGCTGAATAAAATTCAATGCATTCCACATCCAAAGTGGATCATCTTTATCAAATTTATGATTTTTGGAGTAGTCATATGCGTCAACAGAATATAAGAAGAGATGGAACAAATAAAAGGCATATAGAAGAAATGTTATCATAGTTTTCCGCTTGTGTTTCGTGTTTTTCTTGTTTTTCTCGGTTGCTTTGTTTTTGCAAGAATCTCCAACCCAGTTTCACACCAGTTTAAATATATAACATCTAAATTTTTATATCATTTAGATATTTAAATCAAGCTTAGTCATATATATATATATAAATATGTTTCACTTGATATTAGTGATATTTTTATGAGTTTCAAAATTTTTAGTTAAGAATTTTTTCATTGCTATTTTTTTATCAGCAGTGATATTTTGAAAGCTCGTTTTTGTCTCCACGTTGAATCTATTAAAAAATATAATTGGGTGGAAAGAAATGGCGTTTGCCAACCACAGCTTCCAATTCCAACTACCCCACAACCATGGAATCTATTTTCCACCTCAACTCCGGCGCCACCCCGATCTTCGTGGCGGCAGTTGCCACCATCATACTCTTCTACATCTTACTCTTTGGGTTCCGGCCGCCTCGCATCCCTTCCATAACACGGCCATCCCTCCCGCCGGGCCCGTCCGGCCTTCCCATCGTCGGAAACCTTCCCTTCCTGGAAGCCGAACTCCACTCCTTCTTCACCCGCCTCGCTTCCACCTATGGCCCTATATTCCGCCTCCGCCTCGGCTCGAAACTTGCCATCATCATCTCCTCCCCTACACTCGCACGCGAGATCCTCCACGACCAAGATCTCGCCTTTGCCAACCACGACGTCCCCGCCGCAGCCCGCGCCATCACCTACGGTGGGGCTGACATCCTGTGGACCCCACATGGCCCCACTTGGCGCATGCTCCGCCGCATCTGCGTCCGGGAGCTGCTCAGCCCCACGAGCCTCGCAGCCGTTTACCACCACCGACGGCGCCAGATACGTTCAGCCATCCGACGCCTGTACGAGCATGCGGCGGTCGGGGATCCGGTCAACGTTGGGGACCAGATATTTGTTGCGGTCTTGAACGTGGTGACGAGCATGCTGTGGGGTGGGACTGTGGAGGTGGAGAACGGTAGTACTGATGATCTGCAGGTGGGAAGACAGTTTAGGGAGCTCGTCGGTGAGATAACACTACTGCTTGGAAAGCCCAACCTGTCGGATTTTTTCCCTGAATTAGAAAGGTTTGATCTGCAAGGGATAGTGAGAAAGATGGATGTTTTGAGGGAGAAGCTTGATGAAATTTATGACAATATTATAGAAAGTAAGAGGAAGGGATCGAAAGTGAAAGCAGGGGAGGATTTCTTGGACTATATGTTGAAGGCGGAGGATGAAGGGCTTGAGACCAACACGACCTTCACCATCACACATGTCAAAGCTATGCTCATGGTAACTTTGCGCGCTAATTCTCTTTATATATTATATTCTGGTGATTTCGATTTCTCCTCTCCTCTTATTAACATAGATTCTAGGGTTTAGAGTTCTACCCTTTCCCTTCATTAAAAAAGAAAACGGATCCAAGGTCATCTAGTACCCTATTGTTTTCAGAAGCGAAATGATCCCAAGAGCCTCTGTTGTTCGCCGATTTCAGGTTATTCATTCCCCATTTTTTTAAGGAGATCGAGTAATAGTTTTGACTGCTTCTATGACTTGCTAATATTGGGTCATTTAATTTCCTATCCATCCTTTAAGGAGAGAAATTGCCGTATTCACCTTCAGTCCATATCGACCTCGGTTTAGCCTTGTAAGAAAACTATTATATTCAACAAATAACTCGATGATATTTGTTTATTTACATAATTAAACAAGTAAATGAATAGCAATTTAAAAGCGCATCTTATAAAGTACTTTTGTTGATCACATGCATGCTTGTTCATTTATGTTTAAATTTAAAAGCGCATCTTATAAAGTACTTTTGTTGATCACATTCATGCTTGTTCATTTATGTTTAAATTTAAAAGCGCACACAACTCTCATTGGCCTATTGGTTGAGAGCTTAGGCTTGCAACTAAGAGGTTCAGGGTTCGAGTTTATGTGTATGCGTTGTGTGTGTAAGTTTGCCTTAAATGGCCTAAAAAGTTATCATGGCGTCATTACTTATAATCAAATGACGTGTTCGATTATAATATATTACAAATAACAAGCAATAATAAATTTGTCATGATAACTTGTTTAGCTTATAACATAAAGATGTTTAGTACAAAATGTCTAGTACAACCACAAAAATATAACCAAAAAATCATTTAGTGCAACATGAAAGTCCAACTACTCAATAGAGGGAATGATAGAATTAGATTCAGAGGTTGGTCTTTGGCCTTCAATATCATCATCATTGAATATCATTGCTTTTAACTCTAGTTCATCTAAAGAAAGATTTGCAACCTCCAATAATCCCATATCATCAAGGCACTCGAATTCATCTCCAGCAACATCCCACATCTTGTTATCACCTATCATATAAAGTGGGGTTTTCCTTGATAGAAGACGAAGATTTGTATGCACATAAACTAAATCTTCAGTTGTGGAGTTATTTTATTCATCTTTATTGATTGAATAAATGAATATGTGCTCCAATTTCTCTCACAACAGGAAGAGAATGATAGTTGACCAAAAAATTTTATTGCTATTGTTTGAAGAAGCGGTGCTGAAGTTCCATGAATCAACCACCACATTTTTGGATCCATCCTCCATCTATCAACCAAAGATTCTTAAATGTAACGCCCTAAACTACTTGCTTTTAACAACTTCATATGACTGAAGATTCTATCTCTTAATTTTATCTACCCTTATATATTTATGACGTGAAATGAATAACAGAATATATAATGTGAGGAGTTGGGATTTGTTCTTAATTGACAAATAAAGTGATTAGATAGTCTAAAAGAGATCAATGGCCAACTAAACAATCTACAACCTAGGGTTTGATTTAGGTAAAACAAGAATAATCGCATATCCTATAAACTAGGGTTTGATTTAGGTTTTTTTTCCAGAACCCAAAACAATCAAAGTAATTTCAGAAAAATTAACATGCTCTTGTGAACACAAATCCACATGATAAATGAGAAAAAATTGAGAGAAATGACGAATGGCAAAAAAAAATCTAGGTCAAACTTACAGAGAAATGACGAATGATGAATGGCAGAAAAATCTAGATCCGGCAGCATGCAGAAGGAATCTGGATCGGCTGCTCGGGACGGCCGGAAGCTCGCCTGCTCGGGACAGCCGGAAGCTGAAGGCGACGGTGCGGGCTGGAGCCTCGATCGGCTGCGCGACTCCTCTGCTCGGGACGGCCGGAAGCTCGCCTGCTCGGGACGGCCGGAAGCTCGCCTGGTCGGGATGGTCGAAAGCTCGCTTGCTCGGGACGGCCGGAAGCTGAAGGCGACGGTGCAGGCTGAAGCCTCGGCTGCGCGACGACTCCTCTCGATATCGCTCGAATGAACGCGATATTAGGGCTGATTCTTGTGAACCGGCTTATTAGGTGCATTTTTCTTTCTTTTTTTTAATTTAAACTATGAAATAGCCGGACACGCGTGTCCGACAAGTGTGTCCGGCTTAATTTTTTTTTTAAACCCGGACACACCCATAACGTGTTGGACATGTGTCCGAGCCGTGTCGAACGCGTGTCCGTGTCCGACACATGTCCGACACTGCATTGCCTCTTAAAACGGAGTGTCGGTGCATCATAGGTCTTGATCAAACAAATCCAAGGATTGCTTAATTTCAACATCATTAATGCATATTTTTGGAAAGAACACTATATGATCAAGTAAATTAATATGGATCATTTGATTGAACTCTCTAGATTTTGTTTATATTTACTAATCATGCCATTTTCAAAAACTATAATTAGACCCCTACTTTCTATATGAAAGGGCATTTTGTTTTAGATATGGCCTTGAAGAATCTCATAGCTCCATCGGACCACCATCCAATCACTGTTGTTGGACAAACACTCAAGCATCGCATTCAGACCACCATTTGAAAACAAATTGATGATCTTCATTGGACCATTGCCACCACCATTATCGTAGTATTGTTACCTAGCTTTAGACTACAATCCATTAATCATAATTCCCTTACTACAGTCCTTCCTCCAACCATCATCACCTAACTAACATCCTCTATCTATCGTCGCTCAAAGAGGGTCCTTCGATTGCTATCTCTTGATTACAATCCCCTAACAATTGTCGCTCAACTACAGTCCTCCAATCGCTATCGTCTGACTATGATCCTTTGGTTGTCATCTTTTGATTATCGTCCTTTGAACACTATCGCCCAACTATGATTATCAAACTACTATTGCTTTATGACGGTCCTCCAACTACTATCACCTGACTACAATCCTCTAACCATTATCAATATTATGGCCCTTTGATCGTTGTTCCTCGACAATGAGCCTCTAACCATCATCGCCTGACTATGATATACCTATTATAATGGCCCAACTTCAACCTTTCGATTATGATCACCCAATTACTCTCAAAGGACTACAATCTCCCTTCCATTGTCATCTAATTTTGGTTCTTCTAATGCTATGGCTCGACCATATGATTATCATCACTTGAATTTGATTTCCTAACTACCATATTCTAACTTCATCCCTCAAACTAACATCGCATGGATACAATCCTCTGACCTTCATTGCTCAATTACGATCCTCTAAACATTGTTGCTTGAAAATAGTCCTCCAATTAGATCTTAAGTTCAGTTTTTAGAACTTGCATGTCATGACCGGGAATGGTATGACCTGTGCGGTATTGAGTTATATTAAGTCGGGTCATGACAAGCTTTTTTATATTAATGTGTCGGTTGGAGAAGTGAATCATAACAAAGCCATAGGATTTAATATATAATAATATGAGATGATTCTAGGTAGTTAATGGTGCTCATTTTGTTTGTTTTTCATATCTATGTGTTGCATGCAATTGTGTTTAGTAATTCTACAATGTATCAGCCAGATCCAAATATTCCCAATATTTAGTGCTTTAGTTAGGAAGCTCAGGTTCAAGGTATATCTCTTATGATTAGTTCTAAAGTAATATCTCATATTATAGGTTTAGAAGCATAGTTAGTAGATAAGGCTCAAACATGAGTTTCTGGCACTAGATCTGATGACATGTATAGATATTTATGTAATTTTATGATGTTACATTCTCCCAGACTTTCAGGAGTTATTAAATCAAGGGAGGTTGAGGATTGGATGAAGAGGATAGAGAAGACCTTGGATGGGATGCTTTATCCTCCTAAGAGGAGAGTTATAGTAGTTGCATTTTTATTAGATAGTGAGGTTGAGTGCTAGCGATTAGGCTAGTAGAACTAGAAGTTTCAGAGTCATGTAAATACCTTGATTACTTATGAGGAGTTTATAGAGATGTACATGACTTGATTTGTACCTCCATCTATTAGAATGACAATTATGGATCTCTTTTCTGAAATTGATTCAGGGGAATATATTAGTGATGCAGTAAGAGGCAGAGTTTACTGCTCTCTCAAAGTATACTCAATCGTTGGTTAGCATTTTTGAGAAAAGTATTATAGATTTCTGGAGGGGCTCTGGGATACTTGAGACACTCATTACTAATGCAGAAAATTATAGATTTTTCTCAGTTAGTCAAGAGGGTCAAGAGGATAGAGGCTAGTTTGGCAACAGTTCAACAACAATAGAGACTGCGAGCAGGAAGAGCTTTGACAGTGAGAAAGTTGATAAAGGCCATTATGGGAAGAAGAACAGATTTGGACTTGTTGAGTTCAGAAGGAGGGGACAATCGGTAGCAGTTCCTTTTGAATATGATAGAGGTAATATTGCCAACTCTGGATGTTCAGTTAATGAGGGACCGTTAAGTTATTATTGTGGTAGAAAGCTCAATGGTTAATACTATAGAGTGTCAGGTCTAGGTTTTAGCTGTGGTCATTATGGACACAGGATTGTTGAGTGTTACAGATTGGAACTGATAAACATTTTGATTGAAGAACTTAAAGCTAGCTCTATAAGAAGTCGACTATGGGTAGACCAAAGACAATACCACCCCAATCATATTTTAAGGTTTTCGATAGTTGGAGTGCTGGTATGTCAGCATGAGGTAGTATTCTGGAGGATTAAAGGGTGTTGGGAGTTTCATTTCTGACTCCAGCATAACCACAGGTTTATTGTTTGATGCCATAAAAGGCTAGTGAGTCACCAAATATTATGATAGATACTACTTATATTTTTACATCTCCTTTTTATATTTTATTTAATTCTAGTACTAGTCATTCTTTTTTGTCATTGTAACATTTTGATTCCTTGATTTACTTTTCATTCCATTGTCTATTTCCTTGTCTGTAGTTTTTCTTACGGGAGATGGAATTGTAGCCAGTAGGATTTATTTTTATGATTTAAAGTTTTCTAA